CCGTTTGATCTCACTCCTTTTGGTCTCTTCCTCCATTCGCCAGCATAGTTCTTATCATTTACTCACTTCCCTCATATCTGTCGGACTCTTGTAAATAACAGCATCAGCGTCATGTCCTCTGGCGGAAGTCAAACCGCAGCTCTTTGCCTCAGCCATGGTTCTGCTGAAAAAGCCCAAAAGTTTGGTAAAGACAACAATTTGACAGTATTTTCCGACAGAACCTATTACAATTATACGATACAAGACATTGGCAGAGCCTAGCTACCTTGTTGCACTGTTTTTCTGGGCCCCTCTTTGGTCTGCAAAGCGTAGTATACGGACTTATCAGACAATAAATGACTAGTACTAATCCAAATATCATAACTGCCCCATTTCTCCTTTTTCTGAATAAGTTGTAATTCCATTCATTGTCATTCTTCTTCACTTCACAACTCTAGGTTCCTTGTATGCATAAAACTTCGTATGAGTTAGCATTGCCATTGTAAAACACGTAAATATCATTATTTTTCGTCTAGCTCTCTCCCATGCTTGGCCATAAACTTGAGACTAGTAGACCCGGCATTTGATCAGCATACGCTCACCGCCAAGCGCCAATTTAAGTGAGCCTCCAGTCCTCTTTTGATGCTCACTCATTTACCGGAATTCCCTACATGCCCGTGCTTCCATGAATTTTCATCTTTTATCCAGCCATACACAGATTTCCTTTATTTCTCTTAACTCGTGTACATTATCCCACCCTCCTCCACAGGGTGAAACCGTATGCCTCTATCGTCTGGCGTCTGGCCAGAAGTCCTTGCTGCAAACACACACTACGCCCAAAAGTGACCGTCTCTCCGAAACGCCGACCAATTTCTCTACGGCACAGATGACCTACAACGCAGACACGAGAGACGAGATCTCAGATTATCGCATTCTTGAGGTGGAACCAGAATTTATTGGGAGTGTCCGGGGAAGCCTGAAGAGCGAGGAGGAGCTGAAGAGTGGAGACGAAGAGACAGAGGGGATTGGCGAATCTGGTGTCATACCAACCTCTGTATGGCCAAATGAATTGCTCTCCGTTAAAGAGAAAAGATTTATCTTCCTTATTAAAGTGAGCTCTCGAGATTCAATAAATCCGTTATAGTCATGTTTATTACATTTTCACAGTGATACTGTATGGATTTGAAATTTTCTTCGCAATTAAAACTTATTTCTTATAATTATTATGTGTTTATGAAATATTATGCCTTTATAGGCCTTCATTTCGTCTTTTAATCTTTTTAGTTATGCTTTTCTTGTATATATTTAAGCATAACTACATCTGGGTCACTTGAGAACTCCTCTCGTTTACAACAATGACCTTCCGCTACGCTGGCCCTAATAACGCACACATATACCCCTTATTTACCATCACCTATTTTTGTTGTAATATACTACCGATGAGCAAATGAGTAGTTTCAAGACTATCAATAAATGCTGGTCAGTTCTGTGATATATCCCAGATTGCTCTATGGATCTACTAACTGGCCTGTATATGATTAAATGAATAGAAGGCTTCATTTTCCCTTAGGATTTTGTCTCTCACGAGGCCTTATACTCCAGAATGTCCTTCTATGGAAAACAAGCCAAAAGGAAATTTACACACTTAGCTCACAATACTTCAGATTCAAACCGTATTCATGTGGATGTTCATATTAGGTCTGAGGTATTTATGTGAGCCTATAAACTATTTAAATTCACTTTTCTTTTTTACTTCCATCCCTATAAACAGCTGAACGAATTCAAAGGCTCACTAAACGAGCATGGCCGTTTTTGGATGGAGATGAGGTAAAGTGAAAAATATAAGAATGCTAAACTCAATTACTTATTACAAGTTAAAGCTAAAATAAATGCTTTTCCTATATAATTTAATTTCATACCAACCTTTTTATAGAAGCTCATCTTGTCTGTCAATAGTCTCTATTCTCTATTTCCACAAGCTAAGATGGCAAATGTCTTTTTCGTTAATCGAAGTTATGTAGACCAAGGTGACGTGACTTTTTATGGCCGCGGTTTCCTTTCGCTGTATAGAAATTACTTGGTCTTATTTTCATAATTTTGTCGTATTGTCAAGGAAACCTATAAAAAGGCACCATGTCCAGAGTCCATAGTATTCATGATAATTCCCAGAGTAGAACCGTAGACTTGATACATTCGCTGGCATCGTCAGTGAGTCTTGCCGTTCTCGGCACCAAACTACAACTAGTCAAAGAGACAAGTGAAACCGATCCTTTGACCAATTGTCTGCTGAGCAGGTGTAGTATCTCTCCTTCTGTCTTGGTGAATTCACTTTTTCTACACGCTGGAATCACCCCTTAAATAACGTCTGGGAATGTACTAAGTCCATGATCTGACTCTGGAAACTATCATGGATACTATGGGCTCCGGACAAGTTGTGTTCTTCTAAGTCCCTCTGAAAGTACGACAAAGCTGTGAAAATAGGATCAAAGATCTTCCATCGTTTTCGTTGACCTATTAGGCGGGTATCTTGCCTCAGAATATGTTAATAGTTTAGTAACCTACTTACTCGAATAATAGCAGTATAATCTATTGTAGTGGTGGTAGTGTAGTAATCTTGTTGGTGGTGATCGTGGTGGTGATTGTGGTGGTAGCAGTAATGCTGGTGGTGCTGGTAGTAGTAGTAGTAGTATTAGAGTTTGACTTATTGGCACCAGTCCCATAATACATTTGATTTGGAAAAAGCCTGGCTGTTCTTGAATTTTGTGTCTGCTCTGTGAACAACAGGTGATCATGGCTGTGCAGTCTGGTGATAAGCTTGCCGCCTGGCACCCACGATCAGGGTTTTAATCTTATAGAAGAACTAATGATAGCCCGAAGATATTTAAAAGAACGTTCATTTTTGATGAAAAAGCTTTTGGTGGAAAAATACCGTTGGATGTCCAATGACGCCGTAAGATTTATTCATTCTCTTGTTTTCAATCTTGAAATCCCCTGAAACGACCCATGAAAACTCAATTTATTATTCAATATTATTTGGTCTATACCGAAGGTAAAAAATAAAATATGGCACACAGAAAAGCTTGTTCTGCACCTTAAGAAGACATGACAGTTGATTCACATTAATTAAACATTCTTAGACAGTCATTAATATTTGGACATCTTATTTAATCAACCAAGTTGAATCAACCATAATGGAGGGTATGTTAACTTGAAAAATAAAATCATTTTTTCCTATCTCATCCATTCTTATTTTACATCTCTTTCATAAAATATTATATTCCTTTCATTAAAATATGTGAATTTATCATTTTGATTCGATTTCACTAAGTTTGTATTTTTAGATGATTTCGCAATTCCTTCTTGACTTTATTATTGCATCAGACGAAAGGTATTGTTAGCTTAACATAGTAAAAAAGCAATCATCTTCAATCTTCAGTCCTTGCAGATTTTTATCAGTGAACTTGGAAAAAAATTTGAATATGAATATAATAGTTGTTTATAATGTAGTTAAGTAGTTACATCATAGGTACTGATGCTAAGCGTCGTTTTTACTACTTTATTCTTTGTTTTTTTCTGTGCATTTCTGAAGTATACCAGATTTTTTAACATTATAAATAAACTCTGTTGTCCTTAATTCCTAAATCCTTGAAATGTCACACCTGTTTATATAGTAGAAAGTTTGAGTGAGGATTCTATAGTAAAATAAAAAGTTTGCACAGAAGCTTTTTACTACATTTGCCCATGTTGAACAGGACATATATATATATATAAAATTAAAGAGAAAATTTAATCTCATTTAGTCAGAAAACTGTCAAATTTAATATATTTTATTAAATTAGTTTGATCTTGCTTTTGCAACTTAGTCATATTGATAGTAAGATCTAGAGGAACGTACAATGTCTGGAGTTCATAGTATGCATGATCGTTTCCAAAGTCAGGCCGAGGACATTCTCAAACGTTTTGCCGACATCGTCTGCGAGTCTTGCCATTCGTAGCCTCACACGTCAACTCGTAAAAGAGATAAGTAAGGCCGATCCTTTGACAAAATGTGTGATAAACAGTTGTGCTATCTCTCCTTCTGTCCAGGGCCATTCACCTATCCTATATCCTCTTATCACCCCTTCAATATCACAATTTCTTGCTTGTTTATCTAAACCTATTTACACTCCTCGCTGGTTTCCTCATCCCTCCCACTGCGTCGTGACTATTTATCCAAGGCTAAGGTTTCATCCGCAATCCTCTCCATTCAGATCTTATCCCAGTCCCTCTCTTGTTCCGTAAGATTCTTCCCTTATCCGCCCGTTTCAGTGATTTCACTTCATCGCTGCCACCGTGTCTGTACCACTCAAGGCGTTATGTTCTACACTATGCCTCAAGCCTTTGATAACACTGACACTCCCTGAGAAAGATCCTAAAGTTTGGATTCTCAATTGGCATGGCAACTTGACTTGACGCTGCAGATTCCCTTATCGCTGTGCAGCATGTGCACCGAGTAAACCTCTTGGTCGAGCCTTTACTTTGTGGACCACGTCTATGAGCAAACTTATCAACTAATTGAATATATGAAGACCAAGATGTTGTGGCCTCTGGTGTGGTCGCAATCTCCTTTCGATTGATAGAAGTGGGTTGACCTCATTGTCGCAACTTGGTCTTGTTTTCAGGGAGACCATGTAGAACACATCTAGTCCGAAGTCGTCTGCCATAGTAGTTGTCATGATTCCCAGCATCCGTCAGTGGACTTGCTACATTCTCAAACGTTTCGCCGGCATCGTAGTCGGCATCATCAGTCAGTTTTGCCATTCGCCGCACCAAG